GAAGTGTACAGATTCATAGCTGGTGTGCATGACTGAAACCCCTTTAAAGTTTTATCATTGGCTTCTTGTTGGTATTAGCAAAAAGTCTTCTCAGTTGCCAGATCATTAGATATTTGTACTTGCTAATTCCATCGCAAGCATTCTAGCTGATTTTGGAACCCTCATGTAAACTGGATATATATAGCTTGTGTATGCAGAGGCATTGTCCTGCATCTGAGCCCCTTTGGATGTGTGGCGATGTATGAATATATTGTTTGTATAGTCATGGGACTTGTTTTGTACTGTGTGGGTTCAGGTAGTATTTTGAATTGTTTCTCCTTCATCTAAGGTTTTACTATTTATCCATTATCTACCATATTGTATGTGTTTGTGTATTTGTTAAATCATGACACGTGTCAGAATTGCAATATCTGAAATTGAATCTTTTCTCTCCCTAGGACAAGAAAAACATTCTCTTCTCTGGCACTAATGTTGCTGCTGGAAGAGCGCTTGGCATCGTCATTGGCACTGGCTTGGGAACTGCCATTGGTAAGCCACTTCATACTCATGGAGTTTTAGCTGTATTTTAGGTTGATTGTCATTGAGTTGAATGGCGTACATTGCTGTGACTGGACATCTCATTCTGAAATATAGATTTTACCATGGCATGCAGAGCAGGTGTGGTTTAGATTTTATTGTATGTGCTCAGAATCAATATTAAGATCCTAACGACTAAATGTGCTTTCAGGAAAGATTCGCACTCAGATGGCCGAGACTGAAGAGATTAGGACGCCTCTTCAGCAGAAACTGGATGAGTTCGGTGAACAACTTTCCAAGGTCATTTCTGTCATTTGTGTTGCTGTTTGGGCCATCAACATTGGGCACTTCAGTGATCCAGTTCATGGTGGTTCTTGGTTCAAGGGAGCCATTTACTACTTCAAGATTGCTGTCGCCCTGGCCGTAGCTGCTATCCCTGAGGGTCTCCCTGCTGTCATCACCACCTGCCTTGCCCTTGGCACGCGCCGCATGGCCAAGAAGAATGCTATTGTGAGGTCTTTGCCTTCTGTTGAGACTCTTGGTTGTACCTCTGTTATCTGCTCAGACAAGACTGGCACACTCACCACCAACCAGATGTCCGTCTCTCGCATGTTCATTATGGATAAGGTTGAGGGCAATGACTGCTCTCTTCTGGAATTTGAGATCACTGGCTCCACCTACGAGCCCATTGGAGAAATTCGTCTCAATGGTGCTAAAGTGGCAGGATCAGATTTTATTGGATTGCAAGAACTCTCGACCATCTCAGTCATGTGCAATGATTCCTCAGTGGACTTCAATGAGTTCAAGAATCAGTTTGAAAAGGTTGGAGAAGCAACAGAGACTGCACTCATTGTCCTGGCTGAGAAAATCAACCCATTTAATCAGTCCAAGTTTGGTATTGATCGACGCTCTGCTGCTCTTGTAACAAAGCGCGACATGGAGGCCCGTTGGAAGAAGGATTTCACTCTCGAGTTCTCGCGCGATCGCAAGTCCATGTCAACGTATTGCACTCCTCTCCAGTCTTCTAATCTGGGCACAGGATCCAAGATGTTCTGCAAGGGAGCTCCTGAGGGTGTCCTGGACCGTTGTGCTTTTGTCCGTGTTGGAACACAGAAGGTTCCTCTTACTGCAGCTGCCAAGGATAAGATCATGTCTGTCATTCGGCAGTATGGCAGTGGTCGGGACACACTCCGTTGCTTAGGTCTTGCCACCATAGATAATCCCCCTAAGCCAGAGCAGATGAACTTGGCTGACTCAACTAAGTTCCATTCATATGAAGTCAACATGACCTTTGTTGGTGTGGTTGGAATGCTGGATCCTCCCCGGAAAGAAGTCTGTGATTCTGTCAAGAGATGCCGAGCGGCTGGCATTCGCGTTATCGTCATCACTGGGGACAATAAGGCCACTGCTGAGGCCATTTGCCGTCGCATTGGAGTGTTTGAGGAGGATGAGGATCTGACCGGTCTCTCTTACTCTGGTCGTGAATTTGATGAACTTAGTCCCAAGGAGCAGAGGGAAGCTTGCAACCGTGCCCGACTGTTCTCTCGTGTTGAACCTTTCCACAAGTCAAAGATTGTTGAATACTTGCAGGCTGAAGGTGAGATCTCTGCCATGACTGGTGATGGTGTGAATGATGCCCCTGCTCTGAAGAAGGCTGAGATTGGTATTGCCATGGGTTCAGGCACTGCTGTGGCCAAGTCTGCTTCTGAGATGGTGCTTGCTGATGACAACTTCTCCTCCATTGTGGCTGCTGTTGAGGAAGGCCGTGCCATCTACAACAACATGAAGCAGTTCATCCGTTACCTCATTTCTTCCAACATTGGTGAAGTGGTGTCCATCTTCTTGACTGCTGCTCTTGGTCTCCCTGAAGCTCTCATTCCTGTCCAGCTCTTGTGGGTCAACCTGGTAACTGATGGTCCACCTGCCACTGCTCTGGGCTTCAACCCCCCTGACCTCGACATCATGGACAAGCCCCCTCGCAAGGCTGACGAGTCTCTCATCTCTGGCTGGCTCTTCTTCCGCTACATGGCCATTGGATGTTATGTTGGTGCCGCCACAGTTTTTGCCGCCTCTTGGTGGTACATGTACGACCCCACTGGCCCTCAGCTCAACTACTACCAGCTGTCTCACCATCTCTCCTGTACAACAGATGTGGAGAACTTTAAAGACATAGACTGCACTGTCTTCAGCCACCCAGCACCCATGACCATGGCCTTATCTGTGTTGGTTACTATCGAGATGCTCAATGCTCTAAACAGGTATGTTAACTTTTGTTCATTTTCATTTTGATGATAGCATTTAGATCTGATTATGTACAGATAGACCCCTACTTAAGAACATTCTACTTCTGAACATTCCATACAAACAAAATTTTTCAAGTACTAAAGTCCAAAAAATTGTTTGAAAGATGCTAGCAAACTTCAAATTTCCCAGGCGCAAATATAGTTCAAGAGTCTGGTACTGTATAAGGTATGTCGTACTTATTGGGATTTATTTACAGGTATTCTTAATGTAAACAAAACTTTAAAACAATGGAAAAAAAGGTAATGGAGACCTGACATTCGACATACAAACAAATCAACTTACAAACAGCCTCTCGGTCCCCATTATGTTCTTAAGTTGGGGACTTACTGTATTATTAACCCATTCGCGCCGGGTGTCACGTATACGTGACATGCCCACTATGAGTTTGTTTAATTGTTTTTACACATAGATGGCTACACTTGTTGCGAGTACTGCCTGTCTCGCCCATTTACCCTTTTCTTTAATTTACAAAAATATTTTGCGTTATCTTATTTTGCTGTTACTAATGTTTATAACATTATAGTAATTATAATGTTTGTAATAAAAATAACCATTGATATTCATAGCACTAGTAAAAAATACATTTTCCTGCCAAATGAAATCAGGTAAGGCAGAGCCATCTATGTGTAGAGACATTTCACAAAAAGTAAAAAAAATGAGCACAGCCTTTTCCCTTTTTTTTGTTCATTTTTACCCGTAGCAAATGGGTTAAAATAGCATCCATTTTATATGCAAAACTCAAAGAAAAAACTCACAATTATGCAGGAGGCCTTTTTGCTTTAATATTGCCTTAGGGCATCCTTTTTTCACTACTTGTTTAATAGGAATCTCTAGTATATTGTTTGAGGCTTGTCATGTATGTCACTTGTATTACTCAACATACACAACCAGGTGACAAGTTTCATTGCCTATATTTCATCAATTCCTGTTTTATTCCAGTGTGTCAGAGAACCAGTCTCTCTTGGTGATGCCCCCCTGGGTCAACATCTGGCTCCTGCTGGCCATGGCTCTCTCCATGATCCTGCACTTCTTCATTCTCTACATCAACTTCCTTTCGGTGAGTGATGGTTCTTGGCAGGAATGGAAATGAGCGTGTGATGTGGAGGCTATTTTCAGCTTCCTGGAACAATATCTATTTTGTGAGCATATATCTTTACCATTGATATTATTCAAGTCCCCCTCCCCCCCTCGTGATTTTTAAAATTTTAGACATTTTATTTATCTATTTTTTTCTATATGTGTATTGATGTTTTTTTCTTGTCTTTCAGACTGTGTTTAATGTTATGCCACTCTCTGTAGCGCAATGGATTGCAGTGATGGATATATCCTTCCCTGTAATTATATTGGATGAAACCTTCAAGTTCTTTGCTCGCAAGTTAGCCGACGGCGAAAATCCCCTATACTCCTGCCACTGGATTGTTTTGGCATGGGGACTGTACTTGGCATACATTAAGCAATACTTCTTGTAACGTAGGTAATTCCTTAATGGAAAATTAGATTGTCACATTCTCTTTGGTGTGAGGGTTGATGAAAGGGAGACAGCTTGAGCTGACGATGCACTTGTGGTGCTCTTTTGTAAGGGAGGGCTGTAAAGGGTCTACGATATATGTGGCTGTTGTGGCCGTAAAACCCTGCAGTCCCTAGCTCACCAGAATGGCTGGTTGGGATTGGCTGGGAGGGTTTTCAAGATATCTCGGAAGCAGAGATTACAGTTCTCCCATAATTTTTCCTTGCAAGTCAGCTGCAGTCAGACTATCAATATAACTATAACTGAAGTCTAGATAATGGATTCCAGACAACTGTTTAGGTAGAACTCCTTTGAATATTTGAGATTACAAGATACTGATTGTCATGTCACTGATTTTATGGTTGGGGGCTTCAGCATCTTTGAAGGCTGTAGTTTTTCCCAGGGACTGTCTGGAGCAGGATAAAATTGAGGGAAAGCAGCAATTCCTCCAGTGGATTTTTTCGCATGGATTACTGTACTGATAACTAAACTAACTAGGAGACCATATCAGTCAAATGCGCAATGGGTCATGTTCCTCAAACTGAGTCTGATGTTTTCACCTGTACAGTGTTTGTGTGGCTTTCTTTTGCCCAAGACAACAGGCTTGGATAGACTAAAGGGGTCCTTAACTTACCACCATCCGAAAGATGTGCATGAATGTATGTGTGCAGTTAATGTATCATATTTTAAGTTGAATGTATATTTTTATCAGTTAAAGAATAAATTTTGTTGGGGGGTGGGGGAAGAAATGTCTTCATAGTGTATCTACAGAAAAGTACTTTTTCTAATAAAACCTGTAAGTTTTAAGGGGAAAATAGCAACAGTACAGAGTGGGCAATATTTAGCTAGCATTAGCTAGAACTTACTAAACTGATTTAGGTGGTAGTGGTGACAGTGCTAGGTGAGTATTGGCCTCTGTGGATTTTTGTTTTAGTGAACTCAATTATCATGGCACATAGTGTCTTTCCAGTATATTTTAAGGGAACGCTGGGAGCAATCTTGTGATGCGGGTTGTGTCATTATTATTTTTGTTATGAATTTGTAGATTTTTGGGGGTGAGAATTTTTTTGACATGATTATTTTTTCCAACTCAATATGCCAAAGTCATTAGCATATTTCCATCACATAGGTGCAAAAAATTACTTTTAGCCAGGAGAACATAGAATATGTTAATGAGGATCATAGTAAGACCTTTGATATTATTTTCATTATGATTATTATTTGCCGTTTGAGATTATGTTACTTTTGTAAAGAATATCTCTGCCTCTCTTCTCAGAATCATTACTGACTACTAGTTCAAACACATGTATATTACTCTGTCATTTGTAGGATTCAGAGTAAACTTTCCTTTTTCAAATAGCTTATATTTCTACATATTTATTTCAGAATATTTTGACCAATTTTTTAAGTTGATAAGGAACGTATTAGGACTTTCTATATGTTCTACTGAGTCTTATATTTTCATAAAAGTAGATGTTATTGCTACAGGACTGTGAGCGTGAGAGCTTGACCGTGTACACACAACTCGAATGATGATAGAAAGGTGCTGAGGAACTTTCATCCAATGGGAGATGAAGGATTTAGGTTTTGTAGTTATGATCACACGAATAAGTCAGTAAAGAAAGGAAAGGCACTGAAGTGTCACTGGAGATCAAAATGTCATGGACTTAAGACCTTGTAGTGAATTTTTACCTGCATCAGCAGAAGTAATATTGTTCCAAATTTTTTTATATATAAACACATATTTTCTTTTTTCTTTTCATTGCTCATTACTCATGATGTTGAATAACCTAACTGGAATAGTAATGGATAAAAGCACATGAGATGAATGATCCAAAGACAGACAAGCAGTTTGACAATATGAAAGCAGATTGAACAATATTGAAAAGAGCATCACATCCAGAAGGAATTGTGTGTGTGCCAATAGCAATGTATGAAGAATTTCTCCAAAGGATGCGCAATTATATTGGAAAAGCAAGGAGCGTGCGGCAGAATGACACAAGGAGAAGGAATTGAATGGCAGGATTTTATTTATTATTGGCCCTTCGTATCAGTGTTGAAGTTGTACTTTCTCAATGTTCCAAGCTTTTCATATCATAGAGACAGTCACTGGGAGGCTCACTGTATAAGTATTTACTCTTGATGGAATGCAAGTTCTCCGTGTGCAATAACTAATGCACAAAACTAAAGGAAAAAATTATCATTAAAAAAAAGGGTGTATGATGAAAGAAGAATGAGTGAATCTCATTTCTTTTCTATAACCATTACTCATAATTTTTTGTTAATAACTATTATGATGACGATGATAGTAATAATAATGATAAAGATAATGTTAAGTGTTTATTATTATTATTAATACTAATGTTGTTGTAATATAATCTTTAGGTAAAAGTTTTTTCCAATTTAATATTTTTTTGTTACTACAGTATTTCTCTAGACAGAAGAAAACCTGATTTGCCTGCTTGTAAATAAAGCATTTTATTGTAAATTTACGGCTTCCCCTTTTCCTCCTTTCCCACAACTGGTTTTGTAGACGGTTGATTTTGGTGTATGTGGTGACGTGGAAGAGCATGCGTGCAACTGCAGAAGCTGCGGTTCAGTCGGCCTCCCAACTTCTTTGTCAAGTCATTGTAGACTTAATAATTTGATTCTGTGTAGTTAGATGTTATCAAATGAATTTAGTGGACTAGGTTCGCGGTTGAATCTCCCTACCTTGTCACCCCATCCCCCCCCACCCCACCCACTCTCTGGCGGGAACTTCGGCCGAGGTCTCGAGCAGGGTGACTGACGCCGACGGTTTTCATTCATTTGGAATATATTGAGTAGTAGAAGTAGTCTTTCATAAGATTGGTAGTTAAATTGAGATCCTATACATACCTTAGCCTCTCTTCCGGTTGATTGGTCGATGAACAGCAACTGCGAACCTAGGTTGTAAGTGTAAGTGTACCTGTAAACTACGAGAACTTCACTGGAGTACTCAAGAATATTAAATCAGTGTTTATTAAACAATTTATCTGTAGGATAGTTGCATTTAAAGTCCCGAGATTCAGGTCATTTCCTTTTGCGTGGAAGACATTAGACTGCCATCATCACCTCATTCCTAATTTCAGATTTGAACTGTTGCCATAAAAGCTGCATGAGCCACTCGAGAACACCTCTGGCCAATTGAATCA